GACCCAACCGAGCTATATTGGCTGGAACACATGTTCCTGCCAGGCAGGTCGATTGGAGAACGGTAAGACTAAAATCAGCAACTCAAGGTCTGAGGGTGAAGTCGTACTGCTGACTGTACAGAGGCGTGACAGCAGTAAGGTGTTTCCCTCGGACAACCAGCATCTGCAGCGATGCTGCCTTCTCACAAGGAAGGAAGGGGTTAGAAAAGGTTGACCCTAAAAATGTCACACCTCACCTTACCCCACGGATTTCCGTCTCCAGCGGTAAGGCCCTTTGAAGAACGGAGCTAACACATTAAAAACCTCCCACAAAAAGGCCGTGCGCAACCGGCCTCAAGCAGTTGTCCCTTGGGCTCTGCGGTCACGCACTCAGGTCGCTAAGACCAACACTAATCCGATTTCCTTTTCAGGTCCCTCAAGAAATACCCTTCCACGGTGTGGGCAACCGGGAAGTGATATCAGCCCTCATACCCGTAACAGCACACGAGACCAAGTTGGTCACATTCAAATCCTTCCTACACCTCCTAATAACTCTCTTATCTCCACGACTAACCCTTCTCACGTCCCTTTATCACCTCGCCCGCTAGTGCAAACGATTCGAGTACGCGGAATGTTATTCCTGGTCTCCCGAAACCACGCTCCAAACTACACGTAGGAGCTTTCAACGTCCGAAAACTGTGCCAAATAGGACAACAGGCTTCCTTAGCTAGGACTTTAGAATCTCGCTCCATCGATGTGTGCTGCTTCTCTGAAACGCACATATAGGATCCTAGTAGTGTCATTCATTTGACCTCGCCATGTCAAAGTAACGAACCAACTCGATTTACGCTTCGTGTATCTGGAAGCCCTGATGCTGCTTCCCGTGGCCTCGCTAGCGTAGGTATAGCATTGAGTCCTAGGGCTGAACTAGCTCTCTTAGACTGGATCCCAGTAGACAGTCGTTTGTGCGCTGCCCGACTAAACGGAACAGTAAGGACTCGGAAAGATAGGGACACTCGTCGTTGCCTCTTCGTCGTCTCTGCCTACTCTCCCACTGACTGCAGCTCAGATGATGTAAAAGATGAGTTTTACAGAAAGCTTTCCGACCTTCTCCGAAAAGCTAGGCGTTCAGATGTAGTAATAGTGGCTGGTGACTTTAATGCTCAAGTAGGTAAACTAAGCGAAAAGAAAAGACACCTGGGTGGATCTTATGGTGTCGAGGCTCAAAGAACAGATAACGGCGACCGTCTGTTGCAGCTATGCTCAGATAACCGCCTGTTTCTTGCAAACACTAACTTTAAGCATAAGGAAAAACATCTTTTGACATGGCGACCCCCTAATTCGTCTCAACGCTGGACCCAAATAGATCACATCGCTATCAGCCACCGGTGGAGGGGCTCGATAGAAGACTGTCGCTCATTCTGGAGCACATGCTTAGACTCAGATCATGCTCTAGTGCGAGCGCGTATTTGTCTACGTCTTACTGGACGTAGGAAACATGCTGCAAGGAAACCCCTTAGGGTCCTACTAAATGATAGTCAAGTTAAGAGTATATTTCAGGAACATCTAGAAAAACAGTTAGACAGCCATGTAAGTGACGCCCACCCCGAGGCAGCGTGGAATGACATCCGAAAAGCTGTAGAAACAGCGGTGATGTCTGCAAGTACGGTAAACCATAAGGTTAGGGAGAAACACTGGATCTCAGCGGCATCTACCGCACTGATAGATGCTCGAAAACTCATTCCATCTGGCTCTGAACATAACGAAGAGCGGAGTCAGCTTAAGCGTAAGTTGACTAGAAGCCTACGCAAAGATCGTGAACAGTGGTGGGTAGCGAAAGCAAGAGAGATGGAAAAAGCAGCGGCAATAGGTAACAGCAGGCAACTGTTCAGACTTGTTAAGGAAACCGGGATTAGGAACCCAACTGTTAGCGCAACAATCGCAGAGAAAGATGGACATATTATTCATTCTCAATCCAGGAGATTGGACCGATGGGCAGAACACTTTAGGGATCAGTTCAACTGGCCTTCAGCCACACTTCGGTTTCTCACGATCCTCAGTCGACCTGAATGGCAAGTTGATGTAAGTCCTCCGACTCTTTACGAAGTTGAAAAAGCTATAGGAAATCTGAAGCGTGGGAGAGCAACAGGCCTTGACAGGTTTACCCCTGAGATTTTTAAGGATGGCGGTCCAGTATTAGCAGCGAGATTGACTGAGGTCTTAGGTAGAATCTGGGAACTGGACGTAATCCCATCTGACTGGTCTCAATCACTGATTGTACCAGTCTATAAGAAAGGACAAAAGTCCTCCTGTGACAATCACAGAGGAATTAGTTTGACTAATATAGTGTCTAAAATATTAGCTTCAATAATACTTCGACGTCTAACCAAAGCTCGTGAAGAGCAGACTAGAGAAAACCAGGCTGGTTTTCGACCTGGACGTGGTTGCATTGATCAAATATTCACATTACGTCAGGTCCTAGAACATAGACACACATTCAGACGCCCCACAATGGTAGTATTTCTCGACCTTAAGGCGGCATTTGACTCTGTTGATCGTGAGGTTCTATGGCAGTGTTTGTCACTGAAGGGAGTACCAAAGAAGTACATCAACCTTATAAAGGCCCTCTACTCGAACCCAACTGGTCGAGTGAGAGCTTATGGTGAACTGTCATCAGAATTGATTACCTCAAGTGGTGTTCGTCAGGGCTGTCCACTCTCTCCATTCTTGTTTAACTTTGTCGTTGACGTCCTTTTAGAGATGACGCTTTCCTCATCTAAATTTCCAGGAGTTGAACTTCTACCGGGAGCTCCACTTGTTAACTTAGATTATGCCGATGACATAGTTCTATTTGGTGAAGACGCTAACAGAATGCAGAGTCTACTGACCACTCTAAGCAACAATGCAAGCATGTTCGGCATGCGATTTTCTCCCTCGAAATGCAAAATTTTGCTTCAGGATTGGGTTGCGTCGACACCCGAACTAGTGATAGGGAGTGAAGTAGTTGAGCGTGTCGACCGCTTCACTTATCTCGGAAGTCTCATCAGCCCTTGTGGTTTGGTGTGTGACGAAATCTCAGCACGGATACAAAAGGCTCGACTAGCTTTTGCCAACTTGCGTCATTTGTGGCGTAGGCGAGATATCCGTCTATCAACCAAAGGACGTGTCTACTGCGCAGCAGTTCGTTCCGTCCTACTTTATGGCAGTGAAACATGGCCAGTAAGAGTAGAGGATATTCGTAGGTTACTAGTATTTGACCATAGGTGTCTTCGAAACATCGCTCGTATATCCTGGAGTCACCGAGTAAGTAATGCAGTTGTTATGAAACGGGTACTAGGTAAGGATGGCAAATCAATTGATGAAGTAGTGAAACTTAATCAGTTGAGATGGCTGGGACATGTGTTGCGCATGCCCGACCACCGACTGCCACGACGTGCTATGTTTTATGGTGTAGGAGTAGGTTGGAAGAAAGCTAGGGGCGGCCAGACCAAAACATGGCACAAATCCATGAAGTCACTGACAAGTGGACTGAGCCATGTTGGTAGGTGTAGACTACCTGGTTGGGGACCGCGAGATGATAGCAACCGATGGTTAGAGACCTTGAATGACATGGCTCAAAATCGTTTGCAATGGCGCAGGTGCATCCACTCACTGTGTTCTCTCAAACTCTAATCTTCTGAATTCATGTCCTTTATTTTCTTTCCCAATTTATTCCACTGGACTATACTCCTTTAATAACACCATCAAACCTTAATGTCCCCTATCTCTACTTATACTTTCAGTACCTCTACCACTATGGGATTTGAATCGATAACTGAATCTCTGTGCTAATGTAGTATGGCAACTCGAACTGATGTACGTACGTACGAAGTTCCTCGTTGTTACTGACTGACTGACTCAGAATTAAAGAAGAGTATTGTACATGACCAGTGAATAAATTACAGACCATTTGATCCTTAGAACACAGTAAAATTTGAGCGTGAATATGCTTTTGATGTTAATTTATACATATAGAAGCATCTAGCTCATAGAGAAAATACTATGACAACCCTATATGGTTGAAACCTGGAATTCCCATGTTTGATCAGGTGATCACTATTGGTCACCATGAGGCCCTTTATGCTACAGAACACTGATTACCTATCACCTTTTGTATTTCTGGTTGTTGGCTGGATTATGAAGAACTCCACGTTCCAGGAGAAAAAAGGAGTACGGTGGACACCTTGGTCGCAGCTGGACAACTTGGGATTTTTATCCCATACACAGAAACAAATGCGGACAAAGATAAACTGTAGCAGCGGCTTCTGCAGCAGTAGGCCTCAACATTCACAAGGAAAAAAGCAACATCCTAAAGTAAAACACAGTAAGCACCAGCCAATTAACTCTCAAGGGTGTAGCTCTAAAAGGGGTGGAAAATTTACGTACCTGGGTAGTATTATTGATAAACAAGGAGGACCTGATGTAGATGTGAGGGGACGGATCAGCAAAGCAACAACAGAATTCCTACAACTAAAGAATACGTGGGACTTAAAAGAACTGTCACTTAAGACAAAAGTGAGAATTTTCAACAAAAAACGTTGAAATGGTTCTGTCATACAATGATGAGACTTGGAGAACCACTACAACCATCACCAAAAAGGTTCAGGTTATTACAAATAGTCGCCTATGTAAGATGCTTCAAATCTACTGACCGGAGACCGTCAGTAATAGTTAACTGTGGCAGAGAACAAGCTAGCTTAAAGGTGAGGAAGAAATCAGGAAAGACGTTAAGGTTAGATAGAGCATGCATTACGAAAATTTATCACCAGTTATCGAACCATTAGTTTCACGGTCCATTCTGAATTCGGATGCAATGAGTAACTGGACCGGTAGAACCATAAAATGCCTGAAGAAAGTTTGTGGTACAATGCGTGGCGAAGTAATCAAATGTTTAGCAGTTGCCGTAAATTTAACGTAAGCAATACAAGGTAGGTTCAAAGGAATTACTGAAGTAGGTCGGTGAAATGATTAACAGCAATAAACAGATTATAATACAGTTTTTATTGTTTTTAGTCAATACAAATACAATGAAAACAAAAGTAAGGAATTTTAGCAATCAATTAAATACAAATGAGGACATTAAATACACATAATTAAGAATCAGTTAATCTAACTTCGACTTCTACGTCGATCACGTTCTTGTCTCTCTCGTGCACGCTTTAAATCGCGTTCAAATGAACTTTCCCGCTCGGTTGGGGTTTTCGAATGACGACGTTCACGTGATCTAGATCTAGACCGTCGAGAATGATGTCCGCGTTTCTCACGATCAGACCTGAAGACGAAAATTAACACTTTGAATAAGCAAAAATACGTACACGAAAGTAAATTGCTCTACACATGACACAAACTAGTTCCCTCAAGTAAAACGAGCAATCATGTTTACTTTGTAGATAACAAAATCTTGATTCCAGTAAGCACACAGTAACTTTGCTTTGAAACGAAGTAATATCTTAACCAGTTAATTTGGGCTACATAGAATTATCAGTTAAAGAATGCATGAAAGTTTTGAAATTAAAGTTTAATACATATTTTGACTTCAAACAGCAATGGCAACTAAGTTTAACAACTTAAGAGTAAAATATCAAGGTAACTACTATATTCTACTGTGCAGATTTCATGGAAGAAAATGTTACTAAAACACTGATATTAATTCAACTAACCCCATCTCCCATTGAAGTAACTTGGCAATGGTGGGTTACGGTTTCAACTTTTCCCGAAATTGTTTCGCTAACAGTTGACTTCCCAATACTTGTCTCACTGATGAGTCACAAAGTTATATACCTTTAATTATTGTAACAAAAACATTTTAATAATCTTACTGCACATTTCAATTCATTACTAACTTATCAAGTCTACTGTTATTATTCATATTACGTAATCCAGCATTATATATATATATATATATATATATATATATATATATATATATATACGGCCGTACAGTTTGATAATAAATTCGCTGAACTTAGTGTTTTTATAACCCATTATCTATATCCGTTGCTTTATAAATCTCTTCTATTTTAGTTCCTTTAAGATTATCGCGCGAACCTTTAGTTAGTTGCAGTTTGCGTTCTTTGCTTCTTATCATTCACTGAGACTGTCAAGGTGGGTACCCGAGCAGCAACCAGTTTGATAGTTTTCAAAACCCACTTGATTTTTAACCTTTTAAGTTGGCGGTAAATATCAGGGTCTTATTTACAGCTGCGTAGATATTACTTTTCCATTGAGATAAGCTCTAAGGAGTGTTTTTGTTCACCCTTCTGTATTCAATAAAACAGAATCCCCTACTTCCAGAACAAGGTAGGAATCCAAATCAGTGATCCAAAAGAGAGCAGTCATATACTGAATCTCTACAAGGATGACTGGTATCAATATGGTCTATGGTGTTAATGCTAGAGGTCACGTTTAGAAACAGGGTCGAGTAATCTACATATTAGGGTAGTTCCTTCAAACAAATTATGGGACACAGAAACCTAAGTATGTGGACAGTAACAGGATCTACTGATATTTATAGACTAGACGTTCACAGCATCAAGTACTTGACATTCAGAATGTCCGCTGAATGCTGATAGCCATTTACAGTTCAGGCAACACCGTAACAGTGAAATTAAATCGTCAACCAAAATAGGTAATCAGTCACCTTCACTTACCTATGTTTTTCATGTCTGTGAGAATGCCCACCTGACTTATGATGTGAACCATCGCGATTCCGATCTGAAAGCCTCTTACTTTCCTTTTCTTGAACAGAGCCAACTTCCAAAAAGGCCTGGCATTTACGAAGTCGCATTTTTTCTTCTAGTTTCTTTTGAACCGGGACGGGAATACGTGGAAATAGGGTAGAAAACCAATCTAGTTTAGTTAACCAGTGTTCTAACATATTCCCTATCGTCATGATGCAACCGCCTCCCGCCTTGACATCTAGTTCCTAAAAGACAAAAAGTAACATAAAATCCAGAGGGAAACAACAAAAAAGCATATCATTCCTTACAAGTAACATAGGCTAGACGACTGACCCGAAAAGACCATCAACCCGAGTGAATCAGGAAGTACTACGGAACTGGTAACTTATCGTCTCCGTACTTACCTCAGAATCGCTGAAATAGGGTGAATACCACCACCAAAAGTCTTCAGGGGGAATGCAATATCTGTAATAGAATTAGTCTAGATTATAACATGCAATCACCTTATGTACATGAAGCCCAGTGCACGTATGTATGGAGAATCCGGGTGATCGAGGAGGCCTTTGAGTTGTTTTCTTGTAAGCTTTAAAGTGAAAAGTTTATACAAAAGACAATAAGCCGTTGACACGATACCACCAGCACCCACTCCACGTACTCCACCACACATACCTGTTTGACCCCCTATACGTCGACTCCCACGTTCCCATGGCTCCAAATGTTCAACCTGAAGCTCGATATAAAGCGATGAAAACTCAATCAAACCTTGTAATATATCTCATCAATAACTTCATGGTACGTTTTCAGCTCGACCAAGTTGGCTTTGAAGTATGGGGACTGAACAATGTTCGTATAAATCATTGTGTTCAAGTTCATAGTTTGTGGGTTTCCCCAGAGTTTTAAAATATTTCCACGAGGTGCTTGTTCATCTTCATCCACCACACCAAGAAGTCCCATTTGAGGAAGGCCTGACACCATCCTGACCAGCTTTTTAACGGGACGTCTCTAAGGTTCAGTAGCAAACAAGTTGACACTAACACTAGATGTTTCGAAGGTTTGGTACAGTATTAAAGGAAGAACCAGTGCCAAATATCTTTATAAATCAAGTCAGCCCCAGCCCTTAAGCGCCTGACTATCGAAATAGCCGCCTTTGTGTCGTCCTACAATCTCCAATATCGTTCAGATGGTTCAAATAGTTGTGGACGGAATAGAAGAAGCTTTCGCTTAACAGGCTTCCGTGTCTAGTAGCAGAGGATCACCAATACCTCCAGGCAAGAACCTAGGTATATTAACGATAAAAGAGAAAAAAAGAAATTGGCAAATCATAGTAAGATACTATCCTTAGTCCTTAAGAAGAGATCAAGTCGCCTCTTAAAGGACTCCTGAGAAGTTGCTTGGACTAGCTGAGCTGGCAGCAAATTCCAGCACTTGACAACTCTTAAGGAGTAGGAGTTGTGCCTGCAGTCCGTTCTACTATGTTGTATCTCTAATTTCTGGGTATTATCCCTTAGGTTAGTGTTGGGACTAAGCTTAAGTAGGTGTTCAAGAGGATGTCGAGGAGTGTTAAGGATACTGTAAGCCATTAGAAGGTCACCTCTAAGACGCCTATACTCTAATGGGTAAAGGTCAAGTGATTGGAGGCGCTCATCGCAAGGTTTAAATTTGAGTCCCTGAACTGATTTCGTGGCTCGCCGTTGGATAAGCTCCAGAGTGTCCTTATCCTTTTGGAGTGTAGGAGGGAATACTATGTTTCCGTACTCTAAATGGGGACGAATAAAACTATTGAAGATCATGTGGAAAGTTCCCCCGTCAAACTGACCAAAAATGCGCTTCAATGTTACCAGTGCAAGGTTCGCTCGAAAGGCATTTCTGTCACAGTTGGCGTAAGACTTTAAGTCGTACGGCAGCATAACTCGAGATATTACTAGAGGGAAGCTTCCTAAGCTGTAACTGTAATCTGCGACGTGTCTCAGATGGACTACTTTACACTTTAGAGTGTTAAAAGTTAATTCCGTTGTCGTCTGCTCAACTTTGAAGTCGAGTCAGATCCTCCTGAAGTGCCTGTATATTCTCTTGGTTGCGCATCTCTGTCCAAAGTTTCACGTCGTCGGCAAAGAGCAATAAGTCTGACGTTACCTGTTGAGGAAGATCATTTATATAAATCAGGAAGAGGAGAGGTCCTAGTACTGAGCCCTGGGGGACCCCACTAGGACATTCCATAGCGTGTGAGAAATTGAAGTTTACCCTGACCTTAAAATGTCGATTTGTCAGATATGAACTGATCCAGTCAATTAAAGGTGGTTTGATACCCAATTGTTTGAGCTTGTTGATAAGACAAATGTGGTTAACCCTATAAAAGGATATAGAGAAATCAAGGTAAATGATATCCACCTTCCCCTTGCTATCAACGATGCTTGTCCATCTGTCCACCGCAGTCAGCAGGTTCGTCATGCAGGAGTAGCCCTTCCTGAAACCATGCTGTTGGGGTGAGAAGAAATTTAAGGACGGCAGATAGTCATGTATACCATCGTATACCAGGGATTCCATGATCTTTGAAGGTATAGAGAGAAGAGTCATCGGTCGGTAACTTGAAGGTTCAGTGCGTCGACCTTCTTTGGAGATTGGTGTGATATGAGCCAGCTTCCGAATATCCGGTAGTTTGCCTCAACTTAGAGAGTGTGAGAACATCACGCTAAGCGGTGTTGCCAGGATTGAAGCTGCTTCCCTCAGTATAGCAGAGTGGACCATATCTGGACCAGGAGAAGTGTCTGTTCTTAGGTGTTGTAGTTTTCGGAGCACCAAGTCAGCGCTCAGTTTCACTACGGAAAGTCCTGTGTAGTTTCAGATGAAGCCGTCATCAGTATAGTTGATGTGGGTCGGCTGAAATGTCCGGGAGTATTGCTCAGCCAGAAGGTTAGTGGCGTCACCGTCATTATCGGTCGGGCCGTTAGGACCTAGCAGTTGATAAACTCCAGTTTTGGCTTGACGAAGAGAGGCTGCGTAACGGAATAAGCTTTTCAGATTGGAAATAAATTTATCCATAAGCTTTAACTGGTACTGAAGTCTGTCTTCTCTTATATCCTCCGTGCTTATGTTTCTTATATGTTTGTATTGCCTGTACTCGCTGTTGTTGTTGGTTCATTTGTAATCTGCCTAAAAGTGTCTTTTACGGCTTAACAAACGAAGAGTGCGATTTTTTGATGATTGTAGGTTGCATGTGGCTTTTGGGGACCGTTTGTGGAACTGACTGCTTTGTAGCACATAAGAGCGTGTGTAGTAAGAAGTCCCAATGACCATCCACATCAAGTTGATGGTGAACATCCCAATCCATCTGTTGTAGATAGTCCTGCAGAGCTGACACATTCAAGCGTTTGAAATTCCAGTGCCTGTTGTTGTTGGGATATCTTTGCTCAGTTTTGCTGTCAAAACTGAAGGCTATAACGGCGTGATCGCTTTTCCCCAGGGGAGTCAGAATTGAGAGGTTGTCTACTAGAAATTCTTCATTTGTAAAAACACAGTCTAAGCACAACGGTGTCTGACTGTTCCTCCAACGAGTAGCCAACTTCACATTTTCGGGTAATCCCAAATCCTCAATGAGGTTGAAGAATCGAGCTTCGGTTGAATTTTTACCTCCAATATACATATGTTCCGCGAAGTTGGCTCTAGGGAGATTCAAGTCCCCTAGAATCAGGATATGAGTGAAATTGAGACGCGTAGAGCGGGATAGTCCTTCCAGCATGCGACTGTCATACTCGATGTCGGCAGTGGGCTTCCTATATATGACTCCGACTAGGCACCTCGAAGTAGGCCCTGTCCTTTACACGTTTTTTTTATCTTCAAGACAGACCACAAGTGGGATGGTCAGCTCCAACTTGCCTTTGTGTTTGATTCTGGCGTCATATGGCCTCTCCGGGTGCATGTGGATTCCAGTTGGCAACCGACGTCTGTTGACACGAAATGCTTCCAGAGCTGCAGCCGCTATATGGGAGGATGGGAAAGTTATTCTCATTAGTCGGGGTCTAGGATCGCCGTCCTTCTTGGCTAGTCTAGTCACATGCTGAGTCAGTATGATTTTGAGCCTCAAGGACTGTTTGATGAATTTCCATTCCCGAATATCAGAGTTTGCTTGATCAGGGTCCATGTTTTCGGTACACCTTGTACGATGATATTTCTTCCGCGGAAAAACTTCTCTCGAGAATCTTTAGGGACGTTCCGGATGAGATTGCGCTCAGAATACGGTATGTCGGGCTTTACTCTGACATTCCGATCGGATTTCAGTAGATGACTAGCTAGCAGGACATCATCTACTTCGGTATCATTCTTGAGTGTTACACGAAGTAGCCTCGGGTGATTTTGATGCTCAGATTCCTTTCCCCGAGTGAGCCGTGTGACCGTCAAAGGCTCTATTCTAGGAAAATCGAGCTTTTTGTTCAGTTCACCCCAGAGCATCCTGTCGTTTTTGTCCTGCAAACTGAGAGGAAGGTCAGGATTGTCTATTAGGTTCATGATTACGAGAGAGTCATCACGGACCGTTATTGTTTTCCAAGGTTTTCCGGTGCGTTCAGGGTCAGTACGTTGTTGTTTGGAGGTCAAAGCACGTTTCTGAGTCATAGGCTGTTTGATAACCGCACGGACGTTTTTGGGGGTAGACTGAGCGAACAAATCGCCAGTTGATGTCCGTACAACACTTGGGATGTTAACCTTAGACGGTGACACCTGGTCCTTTTTAGCTCTGTTGGCGTGGGTGCAGTCACCTGCAGAGTTTTTGGGAACCACTGTTGCGTTCAAGGACCCTGTACTGGGAGATTTAAGTTTAGTGAGGGAGTCAATTACCGTCGACGTAATGATGGTGCTGAGTTTCAACATGTCATCATTAGTGCTAATGCGTGCTCCATCGATGGTTGACTTATCGACATCCCTATTGTTGTCTTGGTTGCGCGCCCTTGTTTGTCTACCTATTTTATGGCTATCTGTTTCCAAGTTTGCTGACAATTTATTCCTCAGACCTGTCAATAAAACAATGATGTTGCTCAGCAGTACTACAGCATTCGTGTTGCACGTAACACACACCCACTTACGATCCGATTTGCTGAGTCTATTGTAAGCAGTTGCCGTGAGATCTGTGCACGTTTCATGGAACCAACCTTTGCAGTTGTCGCACTGCATGCCAGATGTAACAGCGAAACGGCATCCAGGTCGTTTGCATGAATTTTTCATGGCTGTATTGACGTAAACTGTGTTAAAGATAGTATCAAAAGCTTAAGACCGTTAAAAGTACACTAAAAAGCACACTAAAAAACGGAAAAAATGTATAAAATGTGGTAACAATCAAACGAGTTTAGGTTCTTAGTCAAAATAAAGATGTAGAGTTTGACAGATATTTTGAAATCTGTCCATCACGAAGCCATTTAAGTGACTGATTTCGGCATAGTAACAATTCAGCTATTTTCTCATTGAGAAAATTCAGATGGTCACCAAATATCAAAATATGTGAAGTATAGACAGATGTGTAAATTTTTATTTTGTTTTGAGACATTGTAAAAAGGAAAATCTGGTACTACTTGGAAAATGAAGCACCGGAAATACGCAATAAAAAAGTAAGATAGCAAGTAATTTCAAGATAGTTACTTCACAGAACAACAGTTTGTTTCATCAATTTACCCTGTATCCCACACAGAGGATAGACTATAAACATATAAGTGATAGAATGCCTCTCTACTACAATTGTCTACTGACAGTTATGATTATATCATAGATACTTAGAAGAATTGAAGCCATACCTGACAGTAATCTTAAGGGATTTGTTTCTCAGATCACTATAATGACTCCTTGTTGTGAACTCTCATGTAAGTTAGCCTTCTTAACGTAGACAGAGTGATAGTGAACCATATTTAGGAGTTCAACGACGATCATTCAACTGTAATAAGACAGAAATATAACCGGTTTCGGTGAGGGAATAACTTTGTGTGAGAACAGAAGTGCAATTCATCACAAGCTATTTGGACTTATGAGTTGACTTTGATTAGCTTACACTTCACAAGATGCAAACTTTTGTTGGTACCACAAAGATTATAAACCAATCTAGGCAATAGCCTGTGATAGAAAAGTGAATTTATATCTCACTGAACGAATAGTTCGACCGATAAAAATAATATGCCAAAATTACAAATTTTGCGCAACTAG